TTGCAAGAATCTAAGACTCTATCCTTTGAAACCTGTTTGTTTCTACCCTCTGTCTACTCTCATTCAGGCTTTATTAGCAAGTTGAAGCATTTGAAATTGCTCTTCTTAGAAGTAAAAAAAAATGGTCAAATACTGACAGTGCTGTGTCACCCAATCTAATACTCTGGGGTTCTTTGAAGGATTTAATATTTTTGGTCTTTGCCACCAACCTTTCCCCTGCTTCCAAACTATCTTTCACATTGCAGGATTCATTCATTCATTTCATAAATAAATATGCATTAGACGTGGACTGTGTGGCAGGTGCAATGCTAGGTGCTGAAAATACAGCCAGGACTAAGTCCCACGTGACCCCCGCCTTCACACAGCCCACAGTTTAACAGGGAGACAGACCCAGAACATCCTGCAGCTGTGGAAGGATGGGGACCAGGTGCCCAGGCAGCTCCTGGTGGCTGAGGCTAACTTTATCCAGGTCTTCCAGAACAAGTACCATTTAAGCTGGGACCCCAGGATATGAGGAATTAGCCAAGAAACAAAAAGTGTCCCAGACAGAGAAATCAACGTGTGAAAGCCTGGAGGTGAGGGAGAGTTTGGTTCCTTCAAGGAAGCGGAAGAATTTTCATACGTCTGAGTGTAGAATGCGAACAGAGAGGTGCCTGCAGTGGGGTAGTGGTTACAGGGAGCCAGACAGACGGGCCCTTTCTCTGCGCCCTGCATGGGGACCAGGCACAGTAGTGCCCTGTGACTGCGTGGCACCCACTGACAAAGTGTCTTGTCCCACCCAGGATGCCATTTCCTCTGCAAGTGGGGACAAGGAAAGAGAGTGAATTTGTCAGGGTTTGGGTGATGTTGCAGAGCGTCAGGTATGTAGAAATTTTCCTTGCCACCAGTTTTATTAGAACTCGGGTTTTCTATGAAGCTGGAGATGAGATACTTGTAATTATTATGGAAAGTGCCATTTTGAACCTCAGAGTTAATATTCTTATTGATTCCAGTGAAGGCAGCTCACTGCGCTAAGAGAGTTCTTTTTGCTGGGCTAGGAAGAAGAAAAGCAGTTACTACAGCAAAGAGGAGGGGGTGTATGTCCATATATTTTGAGAAAAGACAGAAGTATTAATAGAACACAATATTTTCATTTACTTCAAGCCACACTAAAGAGAACCATTGTGACTAGATACTTCGTAACAGTGAGGCAGAATGTGAATAAGTGTGTTTAATTGAAACGAAAGTCATCAGATTATGTTCCTAAGTTTGGTATTCGTTTTCGACACTGTCAAGTAGAACTTGCTTTTAGCTGCAGTTTGTTAAGACAGCGTAACTAAGAAGGAGCTTGTTTGCCTCACCTGAAAAAGGAGCAGCTCTGATGTTGTTCAGTGGCCCAGCAATGTCAGGATCAACACTTGTGCTGTTTTCTTAGCCATTTCCTCATGAGTGTTGCCTCATGATCTCACAATGGCTGCTGCAGGCAGGAAAAACCAAGACCCAGGAAAGGGGTGGTGCCACATCACTAATGCTTACATCTCATTGGCTAGATTCCAGTCACATGGCTCTTTCTACCTGCAAGGGAACCTGGGAAATTGAGTGTTTGACTTCTCCAGTCTCCGTAGTGCATGCAGGTACAAGACAGATTAGAGTCCTTTTATAGCGTCTGCCACATAGGAGGCACAACAGTTATTTCTCAACAAAAGCTGTTACTGGCCACTTATAGATGAGGGAAGTATATCACTTAACAAGTTGAATCTTGCAAACAGACCTCATTTTTTCTCTTTTATGATATGAACTTTTTTGGGTAGTGGTTATCTATTTTGTAAATATTTCAATTAAACACTTTCAAGTCATTCTGTTGTTTGGACGTATAAGTTAATATTTGATTTTGATCTCCTAAATGAATTAATTTTCAGTTGTACAATAATACACTGAAAAACAGTGTTCTCAACTTTAAATATGGTTTTTATATCTTTAAAATGTGTTAACAAAAGATAAATATTTTACTAATAGTGCATTTATGGTAGGGATCCTATTCATGCATTAAGGTGATGCTTAACAAGCTATAATTTCTCTTGTGTTTCTGTCACATTATAAAACATAGAAGCCAGTGAGACCATTTTAGAAAGCTTCCATAGAAGTACTGTATATTACTAATTAGGATTCTTTGTAAAAAGTTAAAATATTGGATCATTTGCAGAATGCAGAAGCCATCAGAAGAGCCAAGTTGAAGGATAACAGATGAGAGATGTACCCTTCCACCACCCCTTTGTTATCTCACTGTGAATCCACATGCGTCTTTTCAGCTTCCTTGAAAGCACACTTGCCACGTGGCTAGGCGTTAACCAAGAGCTGACGTTGTGAACGGCGTTATGCTAACCGTGTGCTCTCATAGACTCTTAATCAGCCCCTGTAGCTGTGGCAGTCCTACAGCTCCAGCTGTGCTGTGACATTAAAATGTACCCTTTAGTAGCTGTAGCAGTCCGTTTAAGAAAGCAGTGACGTGCGAAATGAATTTTCACTTAGATAATATTTCTGTAAGTTTTTAAAAGTTAGTTGTTGAAAGAGAAAGCCAGTGTATCTTAATCTCACGAGTTTCAGATAGCTGAAGTTTTACTGTGCCAAACTGTTTTTATGTAGTAGCTGTTTTCACACAGACATGGAAAATAAACCACATATTATGGTTTGGATTCGGATTTGGGATGGGAACTAAAGCAGTGTTTTTCATGAGGAGAAACTGGAGGAATATAGCAAGTGATATATAGTAAATGCTTACTTAATTAGAACCATTGAAATATTCTGGCTGTTTTGAGTTTTGAATAGTAGAGACTCACCCTATAAATGGAATAATGTAGATTATGATATTTTTGGTAGCTCTAACACATATTTTAGAACTAAAGATAATGTTCTACTAATAGTATATGCATATTACTGGAGGTTTTTTTTAAGGTAAAAAGACATTTTAAGTGTATCCAAAATTGAACATCATTTTTCTGTATTTGGCTTAGATGATACTTCGAGTTATTTTAGCTCATGAGGGTCCTGTTTCTAAAAAGCATCAATTACATAGCTCTGGGGGAAATTAAGACAAACAGAGCTTCCTTTTGGGTGAGAGGCTGGGCTTTTTCCTGCTGTTCCCTAGTGACCTAAGTCTTAGGCATCTTTCTCTCCAATGAATGACTTTTTCTTATCTCGTTGGTATTTTGAGAGTGACATTCTCTTTTTGTTGATTATTTGTGTCATAGAAATTCCTAATGTTGAATGTTTTCATCGGCTGTTCTAGTTTTTGTTTCTGTTGTAAGATAGTCTATTATCTCTAATACAGTAAGATTTTTGACCCACTTTGGCGCACTTTGGGGACTCCTCCCTTCACTTGGATCTTGTGTCTTCACATGCATTGATTCAGCCCTGCCGCTTTGCCCGGGGCCCTGTTTGACAAAGAGCCTGTGACTGCAGCATGGCCGTGGAGCATAGGGACACTGCTGGTGGCTGCGGCGCCCTGACCCACAGGGCCTGCCTCACTGGCACTGTGGTGGCATCATCTGAGCTGGCTTGTTCAGGGTGGAAAAGTCACAGAATACACAGCCTTTAAAATTCTGGAAGAGTAAATGTGCTTGAAGTAGGTACGGCAGGGAGAAGGGCTGGTAGACTTCTGTTCTTGTTTTGGAACCGGTTGTAGTGGGGACAGAATGTTGCTCTTGGTGCTGTGTTCTTCTCTGCGACAGACTGAAAGGGACACTTTCACTCATCACTGGAATCAAAAACACTGCTTGGTATAAGCAGGCTTTGTCATGCCAAGCGTCTTTTTACGTACCTGTTAAATTGGTTAAGCCAGAATGATCTCCATGATAAAAGCAAAAACAAACTAACAAAAAAACGGAAGTCCACGTGAAAGCTAGTACTAAGTATTTTAGGTAACTTGCTCAATAACAAAGGGAAAAAAGCCCATCCTGGGCTGCTGTCTGGTAAAACAGCACCTCAGTCACGTTAGGGGGAACTTGGTCCCTTTATATTTTATCCCTTTCCTTGTGCTCTGAGAAAAGACGTACCCAATTTGTTCATACACAGTGTGAACAAGTGTAACAGAAGATACTCGTTCCCTATTTTAAATTGATGAAAAATTTCGGATTTTTTTCTCTACTAAAATTCATGTTTTAATGAAATTTTTGCTTGTTAGATGATTAAAATAGAAGTATTTTCATTTGGCATCTTCATAATTTTTTTTTTAAGTAGAAGTACTGGGGATTGAACTCGGGACTTCATGCATGCTAAACATGCGCCCTACCAATGTTAGAGCCCTAAGATTGTATTACTTGCAAATTTTTGTTGTGTTCCATTTTTATAATATGCTCTTTCAGTCCTGAAACAAATACATTAACAACATATTAAGGTGGAGTTTTAGGTTATTTAGAAAACCATCAAACTGAAGGAAGTGATACCTCCTTAAAAGTATTTCTGAATGTAATGAATTTCTGTTAACTTTTCTTTAAAGTCCATTTTAAGTACGTGAGAAATCTGCTTTTCATCCCGCCAGCCACATGGAAAATATTTCAGGTCAAGATTGGATTGTTTTTCAGGAAAAATTGTCTAAGCAATAATTATCCTGAAGTAGGAGTGTTTAATATGAATATGCCTTCTATTCTGTAATCGACTTCTGAAATTAAAAAAGTAAGACCATTTTACGTAGAATACAAGCTATTGCAGTCAATTCTAACAATACAGAAATGTAAAAATTTAATTGGTGTCTTAAGGCACTACCCACCAGCTCCCACCTCCAAAAGAATTAGCTTGGGTAATTTTAAAAGTCGAAACACTGTGCTTTGCTGAGCTTGAAATTTTCCATAGTAAGTAAATGTCACACCCACTAGAAGTAGAGAAATATTACGTGTGGTTTCTAAGTGATGATTTCTATTAACTCTTCTAGAGCAAACACATAATGAGAGGAGCACTGGAAAGGTGTATATAGATTGAGACTAATACTTGATGACGCAAGTCTATATACCCACATGCACGTACATGCAAATGATGGGGAGATGCCACAAAAGAAGTGTCAGCGCCTTAACCATACGTATGTTGTCCGGCCCGAGGGCCTCTTCCATCCTTGTCTAGAGGACTGCTAACTTTCCCTCCTTTCATACCACACTGAATAATAATTTTTAAAAATATATATCTTGGTAAGATTGTCCAGACTTCCGAGGGTTTTCTGCCCAGTTGATTAAGCCGGAAAAGTGTGTGTTAACAGGCTTGCGTCGGGGCAGCATTCAGGACGACGGAAAGTAGATACAGAGCTGACTGGCTCCTGGGAAAGTGACCCGGCCGACCATTACATGTGGACCACGGGATGGAGCCGGCGAGGTTAGAATAGACTCCTTGTGGAGAGGAAGGAGCCGAGGCTAGGACACCTGCCTCCCGGTCCCGCGCCGCACAGTGCTCGCGCCCAGGTCACACGCTGACCTGCTCCTCTCTGTTACTGGAAACCGTGACTTACCCAGATCCTCCTGATCAGCTGGTCTCCCGGTCTCTTCCTGTTCTGCCTCATAAACACTTTCATCCCTTGCTGTCGGTTCTCACTGCTGCTGACCCCTGAGCTCCCCTCCCCGGCCTTCAGCACCACCCTGCTTGGCCCCCAGATCTCCTTTCCCGGGGCTTCAAGGCCCCGCTCAGCATCCTCTGTGCCCCTGAAGAGAAAGCCTTGTGTGGCGCACGTGTCTTGCCCCCATTTGTGCTTCTGGCTGCTTCGTCTTGCTTGACTTTGAGCAGTGCTTTGCTTCAGCACGGGGTACCTCCAGGGCCTCCCAGACCCTGATGCCTTTGTGTTTTCTCACCTTTGCTGCTCATTTACCTGCCAAGTGTGCAAATGTTCATCCAGACTCGACTTCTAGGACCCTTTCTTGGTGACCCCAGATCTCTGTGTCTCTCCACCTTTCCTCTCACCACACCGTGCGCAGAATTCTGTTACCTGATTATCAGATCATATTGCCATTGATGATGGCCAATTTCTGTCTCTGCTGCGTCAACGTTCCTTAAGGACCAGTTGGTTAGAAGCACATCCAACAACACTGACTGAATGACCAGTGGTTATTTGGGTGATCATTTCATAACTGGACAGTCCCTCCCATCAGAACACTTATTTCCTGGTAGTTCACATTTAAGGCTTTGCTTTCACAGACTATCTCACGGTAAACACCCATCGTCAAATGCTGAGGAAACACTGACTGAAGGGACCTGTGTAGAGGTAGGTGTCCCTAGGAAGGGTTTTGGGTGTGTAGCTTCAGGCTAAGGCAGAAAGACAGGAATCAGTTTTTGGTCCAGGCTGCTGATAGAGCCTGTGAGTTCATTACCTACGTTTAGTTAACCCGTTTGTTGAGCATTAGTTTTCAATGCCGTATGTGGTGGAAAGCACATACCAGCCGGTGCCGGTCATCTTTACAGATAGGTGTCTGTGTGAGAGTGAGCAGGAAGAGATTGACACCATAGAAACCTGGTTCCCCAGACATCTGCGGTGTCTTCACGCCTCCCTGTAGAGCACTCCCCTCTTCTACCTGCTTCTGCTGCCCTCAGCACACCAGGCAGGTCCGCCAGCCCCACAGCAAAGCCACGTGGTAGGTTTTTGATAAGTATTTGGTGAGTGAATGAATAGGCCAACAGGTATACAAAAAGCTAGACAAACGTTAGTTACTAAATACTATGTCTAGTCATGTGTTTCATTAAGTCAAGGCAAACTCTCTAGGTCTTGTCTCTTCTTCGATTTTAATATTCGGACAGCCAGCAGATTCAGTAAGTGGTTTGTTTTGCCTTGGGATGGGTGTGTCCTCAGTGACTGATAGGTAAGTCCCTGTCTGAATGGGTAAGTGTCTCTTTCAAAAACTGTGTTTAGCCTTGAGCTGGGGGTCTGTGTGCCTGCATGACTTGAGCCTGAAACACGGGCCTAGTCTTTACCCAACTACTTTCTTTAAGAAGATGACAAATAAGTTTATTAGGCTAGTTTTAAATGTTATTAAATTGAGGTTTCTGAGTAGAAACAGCAAAGATGGCCAACAGGGTTTCCCAGCTGTTTTTCAAGTGAGCAGATGTCATGGATTCAGGGCTTTTGTTTTCCTGATGGAGGTTCCAGTGTCATTGGAATGAATCCCAGGAAGGTCAAATCAGACCCGACAGTGGCAATTATCTTGTCCACATGCGTTGGAACCTATGTACAAGTTAACATTTAATTTTAAGTTTAGTGAGTAAACTGATTCTTGGAAATCAGACGTCCTGTTAATGGAACAGAGTATTTGACACTTTTAAATAAAGCTGCATTATCAGAATGGTAACATGTTAATAAAAGGAACATAAGGGAAAGCTGGGTTCGTATGAAGCTAATTTCCTATAAATAATGAATCCTGTAGGATTTAAGGGTAAACTTTTTTTTTTTTTGCATTGTGAAGTAGTTTATTTGTGAGCATTAGGGCTCTGAACATCATTGGAGATTTTTTACATCATCTCTGATCTGTTGAGCTGGGAGTGAGGAGGAAGGAAGGGATGCTCAAACTGGGTCATCAGCCTCCACGTGGTACAGTTTGTCCTCAGGGAGCACAGTATATGGAGCGGAAGATTGAGGTCACAGCTTGCTCTTCTAGCTTTAGGTAAAGGGCAAGTCTGTTGGCTTATTTGCTCTTAGGTTAAAATTCGAAGACATGTACTCTTAGAGAAATAGTGTCAATGTTTTCTTTTCTCCTTAAGTATGAATCTGTTTTGAGTATTTACAACAGAAGCTGTGTTACTTAGATTTCTGTCTAGATTTCCCATGAAAGAAACACGGATTGACTATGTTTGCTTGATGATGGCTAAGTGTCAAAGATTGAAGTGCTCAGAATTCACTTTAACCACATTGCAAAAATGTTATATTTTCATTTTGAATAGGTAATGTATTTACCCTTTGGTTAAAAAGTATTTAAAAACGCATTAGAACACCTTACATCTGTCTGGTCTTTGTTCTCTTCTCTGAAAAGGTAAACATTGTTAGTACTTCCATACGTATCATGTGATAATTTTGTTACGAATTTATAAGCAGAGGAAAGCTCTAACACACAGCGGACACGCCGTCCACATGGCCCTTCCCTGTGCTTTCTCCGTTCACTGCAGAGAGCTTCCTGCCTCCATGTTCAGCGTGATATCCCACTGTGTACACTTATTTAACCAGACCTCCACTTACGGACAGTTGGATTTTTTTTTTCTTATCTTTTCTTTGCAGACAAGTTTGCAATGGAACCCCTTCTATAGGGGTCATTTCATTCCCGTGTGGGATTCATAATAGAATACATTTTTGCTTACCAGCTATGAATTCAACAGTGTGTGCTAGGGTGTGCTAGAGAAGGCATGTCACCAAGTATTATGTTCTTAAAGAGCAATTTGAGTCTATGATACTGGGCAGACAGGCATCATCAGAATTGTTTTAAATGTTTGGAGGAGAGTCTCCACCTGTAGCACTGAAAACTGCACCCTGACGTACAGATCTGACGGTTTCTGTTACTTCCTGAGGCCGAGCGGTGTTTGAGTTCTGGGTGTGGTGTCTGGGCTTTTCATAGCTGGACGCACAGCAACCCATACTAATGTGTGGGGGCCCCACTCCTGAAATTCCAGTTCTCCAGCCGTGAAGAAAGCTTGAGAGGAGAGGCAGCGGCGCACGGACAGTCTGGGTTTTACTGAAGCAGTAGCTTTCCCTCCCTGACTTCTCCAGTCAGACGGAGGAGACAACACTTAGCTGCAACCCTAATTCAACTCTTAATTTTTAAACACTTAAAAAAAAAAGTTTTGAAAGATTCTTAGCGTTATGTAAATATGTTATTTTAAAATCTACTTTCTGCCCATTGAGAAACACTAGAGTTAATCTCCTAAAACCAAGGGAAAAAAAAAGGCTATCTCCCTATCTTTAAGATAATGTTAGAGATGGAATTAACCATTCAATAAGAAAAATGGATAAATATAAAGGAGGGTGTATTAGATACATGTAATCAAGGAATTTAGCCAAACAGTATTACTAACCAAATACTTTCCTATAGCCTTGTAAGTTCAAAAAGTCTTGGTAATACAGTGAAAAAAATTTAGTTTACAGAGGAGCCAAACATACTTAGTTACTGCCTAACTTTGGCATCAGAGATAATTTGATGAAAAATTTTTGGTGTTACAGGAAAAGTACCTATATTCTGAACCTGAGTGTAAAAAACAGTGTTTACTAAGTTAATTTATGTTTAATTTATTTCCTTAGAAATAACTTACAGAATGTGACTAGTTAATACTAAATTTCATCTGAGAGGCTAAGTAGGCAGGAATCTTAAAGGATGGTTTCTCCAAAAATGTTCATATAGAAGATTCGTCTCTCAGGTTTTGTAAATAATTAGAACCTTACAGTTTAAAAACTGATACTGGGCTAAATAATCCAATTGATTTGCATAGAAATTCTAGAAAGAGAATGAAATGTTGATAAGAATTAAAGACATGGTAAACTCAGAGAAACGAAGAATAAATGAATACAGATTTCAGTAAGTATTCGTAGGATATGTAACAGTGGTATCAGTCAGGAAGGTCACCTTAAATCTGTTTATGCTGCAGTACATTCTAGACGGTCGAAGAGTTAAGATGTTTTTTGCTCTTCTGTTTGTACACAAGTTATATAACATATTATATAAAATGTAGGTATTTATCCATATATAGGTTTATTGAAATGAAGTTATCAGATAATGGGCTTAGATGAATTAAAGTAACATTTTATTAAGCGTATTGCATGAAAGTTTACAGTTAGTTATCACATCCCCACCCCATCTCCAGTTTCCGGATGGGTGGAAACAGAGCCTCGGTTCTGACTCTGAGTCTGTCCCAGAGACACTGTAGCCTCTTCCCATCCCTGGGCCCCACCTTCCCTACCCAGGGTGACCAGGAGGGTCGCAGAGAGGGGAAGTGAGAAAACACTATAAACAGTAAAACACCACGTCATTATGATAAGTCTTCTGACAAATATAATTCCTGGGAACATTTAAAATTTTAGAAAATGACATAAAGGAATACTAATCTCAGATATTTGGGTAAATGGTAAAATACTTAGATAATTTTTCATTAATATGTGACTATAAAGCCATTCTCCTTTCAGGACTTTAATATTGTGCCTGTGAACTTGGTTACTATCTCTGTCTGCTATGAAAGTGGCAATTGTTGCAAAACAGTTTCTCCTTTTGTTAAGCCATCTTAGAACTGAAAATTATCAAGTTTGAATACAAATATGAGTTGTTTAACTATGGAGGGCTACCACAGAAGAGGAGAGCCTTTCTCTCTTTTTTTTTAACCTGAGGGATGTATTGAATGTATTTTGCCATTGTATATTAGAACGCAAATACTGAGGTCTCTTTCCTTTGCTTTAAGAAATCACTATTTTCTTCCTCCTAAAAAATTAGAGAAAATAATTACTGTTTATAAAGTTGTCCTTGGTTTGCTTGTCACCACAGAATGTGGATGCCATGGGGAATGCCTGTGAGAATAAAGAAACATTTATTTTTTTTAGTTTCTTGTAGTCCCCCCCCCCCCGCTTCAGATCTAGATTTGTTTTGCTTATTTAGCCTACTTATTTCAAGAAGCTAAGCAGCTTGTTTCCTGTTTTTCCAATTCTGTTGCTATTTAAAGTGACTGAGACATTTGGAATGGTTCCAAAACAGAACTGTTTTCCCATTTAATATAGAGCAGAGTGATTCCCAAGGCACCAAAGACGTAGAAAGGGAATAGTCACTTAGCGTGGCATCTTAGATAGATCAGAAGTATTAGCATGTGCTTAAAACAAAAACAAAAATTTCTAAAGCCATGTTGCTTTAAGGAGGGAAAGAAACAACAAAGCTTGTGTTTGATAGAAAACAGAATAGTATTGTCAAGAGTATAAATGCTGTTAGCAATGAAATTAGAGATCGGGGGTGAAATGTGAGTAGATCTTCAGTGTACGTGTGACGATCTGTTAGAGATTAGGAAATGACTCACCCATAGTATAAATCTTTGTAAGGACCAGGCCATCGGCAGGAAAAGGATGGAAAGTTGGTAGGAAATGTGTGGGAAGAGGGAAAGGCACTTAAAGTCCAATCATTTGTGTGGTTTTTCAGCCTCTGTGATTGGAAGATAGAGTCAGGGTACCTGTCACCATCCAGTTTCTGTATCAGTCTACCTGGAAAGTTAGCAACTGTGAGATCCACATTACTTTGCACACAATTTTCATGTTTCTGAATTAGTAAATCTGTTACATGCCCCCAGTACTCTGCCCCCTATAAATCTTTATAAGTCAGAGCTCAGGCCATCGTCTGTGTTTATGGATTCCAGACATCTAGATGTTTGAGTAATCCCCGTTCTCATCCATGTGCTTTCCTTACGTAAACATAACTTAAGTGCATTTCTGTGGCTTATCTAGTCGTTTGTGAACCCAGATGGTAGTGATTATAAAAGTCAAAGTCACATATTTTCCTACCTATATTAATTCCTTTTGCAGTTGAAAAGGGCAGGCAGAAGAATCCCAGGAGTTTATGTATCCAGACCCAGACGTCTCCAGATGTGCTGTCCTCTGAAAAAACACTTGAGTTGGCTCGGTATAAAACAAAATGTGAAAACCAAAGTGGATTTATCGTGCAGCTCAAGCAGCTTCTCTCCTGTGGTAATACCAAGTTGGAAGCGTTAACAGTGGTGATCCAGCACCTGCTGTCTGAGGTAAGGACACCTGCCCTCTAAACCGTCTTCTCACTAAGGTAGGGCAGGGCGGGTCGGGGGTGGGGGTGCTCACGCACCTGTCTTGTAACTGTCTTTAAGTTAATGATTGGTTAGATCACAGATAATTCATCCAGTTGTGCTTTTAACTCACTTGACACCTGAGTCACTCTCTAGACATTTGGGATTGAAACGTTTGTGCCTCCCCTTTCCCCTCTGGAGTCTCTCAGACCAACAACAGCGAAAAGATAATCGTCTGTTAAACTTCCGTACACGTCAACGAAAAATTAATCACATGATCTAAGAAAGAAATGGAAAATTTTATTCGAGCCAAATTGAGGATTATAACCTGGGAACAGCATGTCAGAAAATTGCAGAAAATGTTCCACCCATTAAGAAGTCAAGGCATGGTTGTATAAGGTTTTTGAGACTGAGGGCTGTGTGCTAGATGACATGTTATTGACAGTTTACACTGGAGGTATGAAGTGGTGGGTCATATGACCTCTTACAGGCTCAGGAAGGAATGTTATCTTTTAAGGAGTTGCCTTACTGATGCTGGAAGAACATCGCTGTTTATGGTTGAGTAGGTATTTCTGCCCACGGGGAGGTCAGTGCATCGCCCAGATACATAATGGATAGCAGAGGGATGAGTGGAGCCAGAGGGCAGAGAAAATTTTTTCGTGTTTAAATATTTTTTGTCTTGGCATAACATAAAAATTTTATTTCACAGCATTAACATTTTTTCCACTTAATTTTTTGGTCAAACTTTGTGTAGCTTTCCATGTCACACGTTGCTTTGAAAAAATGAGGTTGATGATATTTATGGGTCAAAGAACACTTGTGAGGTAACTGCCAGCATAGGTCTGGGGATTCCATCTGTTCCTAACGTAGTCTGTTGTCCACCAAACACAAAACAGATTTTCTCTGTTTACTTACTCTTCCCTGATACTCTACAGGGATGTTAATTCAGGAACTAGTTAGAATTCATTGGGAAAACCAAGTTTCTATGAACTTATGCTACTGGCATAGGAACAAATAGCATAATTATTCAAGAGGAAATACTGAGATGAGAATACAACTTGAACTCTTGAGGTATTTTTTAATTGCCGTTTTAGAGATAAGGGTACATGACATCTCAGTGTGTTTGTTCTGTAGCTGAGTTCCATCCAAGAAACCTATTCATTTCTTCCAGAGGCTGCTCTGATGTGGTTGCCTGTCTGGTGAATGAGACTTGGTCTGTGCCTTTGACAAGCTACCAAGCTAGCAGACAGTTTGAATCAGTATATGGTGAACATTTTACAGCTTTGTCCAAATATGTTCTTTTGTGAGGGAGATGGAGACATTTACCTAGTTTTTAAACGACAGTAGGATACAGTAGTTTTGTTTTTCTTTAATATGTAAGAAAGGAATCTGAGAGTTGGTTAAGATGACCAAGCAAGGTAAATTGGAAACTACATAATATCAAGTGTAGGGAACAACTAATTTGTCTATTTAGTAACAAACCAGTTATTTATTTGACTGTGTCTAGCCTCTTCTCCCTCCCTGATCTCCCACATGAAAGCAGTCATGTCTGGTGAGTCCTCATCCCAGTGTCTCTCCCCTTCATCCACGCCCTCTTTTCCATTTCTACTGATGCCAACCATGTTCAAACCCTGGGTAACTGTCTACTAGATTCGGATGATAAGTTCTTAACCAGTCTTCAGGCTTGCATCCTCTTCCGCATAATCCATCCCAAGCCCCGCTAAGATTCACATTTCCAGAGCATCCACTCTACTGATTAAAACCTTCAGTGGTTCTCCATTGTCCACATCTGATCTGTCCAGTTTGGCAACCACTGGCCTTACAAAGCTGTTGAGCATTTGCGTGTCCTCAGGCTGAACTGAGATATGCAATTAGTGTAAAATACGCATGGATTTTGAAGACAGTGTGGAAAAAAGGATGTAAAATTATCTCGTTAATTTTTCTATTGACTAGATGTTGAAATGACCATTTGGATATATGGGATTAAATAAAATATATTATTAAATTAGTTTAATCTTTTGCACTTAAGAAGTGTGGCTACTAGGGAATTAAAATTCCATACATGGTTCACATGATATTTGTTTTGGATGTCTCTGGTATGTCACTTGGAATATAAGACTCTCCGTAATTTGGCACCAACTGCCCCTTTTAACTGTCACCTCCCTACCCAGATGCTCCGACTCTGTCATCAGGAAGATGGAGGAGAAACAGGAGGGATTTACCATTTGTTGAAATATTTACTAAGTACCAGACATTCTTACTTACAATAAAATCCTCTCCAAAAACACAAGTTACAATTTACAAATAAGGAAACTGAGGCATTGCGCTGGGCTTCACTATCATCAGACAGCTGATAAGAGGAGGACCAGAGCTTGAACCCAGGTCTAGGATGTTACGAACTCAAAATCCCCTACAAACTTCCTGCTACAGATACCATTACCACCCCTCTCCCTAATACCTACAAGTTCACATCTTTCTCGTAGTTGCATCACAGTACTACCTGGATTTAATTTACATGGATCCGTTATACAAACCATCAAAGTTAAAAATGCAAATTAAATAGATGAGGCAGTCTTGCCTTCCATGCCTCGCAATGAGCAAAGACCCGGGAGTGGGTGTGGGGCGGAGGACAGGAGACTTCTTCCTGCAGCTGCGTTCCCAGGCCCTCAGGACCTCGCGTGGCATGACCCTTCCACGCGCCACGTGGTCCTAGTGTTTAAAGATACTTTCCTCCCATACAACTCGGCCCCTAACGACAAGCCAAACATTTTATCAGGTGCTCAGTTGGAGAAAGATTAGGTCCAACAGTAGAGAAAAACGTTCATCGAGCTGGGTGGGCATACTGAGAGAAGGTTTTTCAGTCCACAGCAGGGCAAACTCTCAGTGAGTTTTTGGGTACTTGGACTGCATGGGGATTTCATCTTACACCCAGTTTAGGTCCTAAGGCCAATGCAATTGTGACTCCATTGAATTTCTTAAAATTCAGCTTGGAAATACTCTAAAAAGAACTCTTCGCTGGTCCTTCTAGCTCTATGTTCTGTCTGCTCTCGGGGTTCTAGGAGCACTTTTATTTCTCTGACCCTCTACCTTGGAGATGGCCGTTTCACACTTGTTCTTAGTCTTTAGGACAGGAAGCTCCGTGAGAGCAGGATCTGCGTCCGGTGCGTTCCTAGGAAGGCGCCCCGGCTGCCATGGCGGCGCCTTATACGTGACAGTCACCCAGAGTGTATCCCAGTGAACACACGGACGGGTGAGGGGGATGGGGTCCCAGATGTAAGACGAGCATGTAAAGTCTTTATGTCGATGTTCTTTGCTCTTTATAACCAGTTGGCAAATATTTACCGATTGCCTCATGTATGCAGGGCACAGTTATAAAACAGTTGGAAAAGAAAGACATAACCAGGAGGAAAGTTAGGCCTTTTTTTTTTTCTCCAGATTTTTACTTAACCCTTTGGTTCTCGCATACTCATTACAGAAGTGATAGATAGACAGAAACATAGATAGGTAGAATGTAGATTATAGATGTAGACTGATCTATATATACATAAAGATCTTATTGTTGCTGACTGTTTCTAAATGGTTTCCGAGCATTAAATCATGGGTAAAAATGGTTGGTTATAGGAAATCCAGCCACTCTCACTTATCCTTTGGTTGCGAGTCCATTTAATAACTACAACTTTCCCACTGTAGCGGCAGATGGCATTCATTACATAGCAGAAGTTCTGATGAGTGTCTCATGCATCTGGAAACCAATACCAGACTGTTTCTCAAAGGACACACGACTGTTGGTTTTAGTTTGTTCTAATTCTTGGCTTATCCTTGCATAATTGTACAGTGTTCTGTACAGACAGACCAAGTGAAGGACAGTGTTGATGGAGGTAATACCCAATTTCTTCATCAAAGTGTCTGTGGGTGAATTTGTAGGTACATGTGAGCAGGACCAAGGTCACCGCTCACCCCAGACCTCTGACTGATTATTCAGTGAGCCTCCAACTCTGTTTTTAAAAGTGGAATCTCACCTAAAGTAGCACCTAAACAAAGATGAATTTTGAATGACACTAGCCGTCTGTTATAAGTAAAAATGTCTCACAACCAAAACAGTGGCTACGATTCACTGCGTGGTGGTGGGGAGGAGGTCCGAGATGGCGCACATCTGAGCCACCTGACGTGGCTCTTTTCTGCATAATCCCCTGTGCTGCTGACGCCCTTTGGTAGCTGGCAGTTCAGGCCCACTGATGGGACGACAGCCAGAGACTAAGTGCCTGTGTCCCAGGGACTCCTAATTAAATTATGGTGAATCCTTTCTCCCCACCTTGGAGCACTTCCTACGATTAATGCATGAGGATAAAAGCATTTTTCCGTCCAGATTCCCACCTCCCTCTTTTTTCACATTGTATGGAATTCTGCATGTTACAACACAAAGGGAATTAAATAAACCAAGAGAATTAAATCAACTTGTTATCTGGACAATAGAGAGTTTATCATCTAAGACAGAAACACTGATAGAGGAGCAGCTAAATAAAAAGAAACAGGCAATCAATATCTGAGTGACAAAATGCATTTTGTCGTCTGCAGATAAAGGGTAAATGTCTTACAGGGCAAGCTACCAGGAGTCAGGTAGAAAGGAATGCTGCTTATGTGCATGGTATGGGGACCGTGGTCAGCATTTCACAGAGGATTGTGTTTAAAGCCCTTGGTTTTCCCGTTACCCTGTACTGCTTCCCCTCAGATGAAGTCATCTGCCTTGAGTTATTGGCCTGGATGTTTTAATTCTACCCAGGTCCCAAGCTTCTTGAAGCAAGAAACACGTCTTAAATTTTTTCCACATTTTTCCCAGCATCTGGAATGGTTCCTGGTTAAGTGGTACTTTGGTTGGTAATAACTTGGCAACCAACTCAGAAGGATAAATGTCCTGCCTTGGCATCTGGGGAAAGGGGATGTTATCTGTGATTGACAGTTAGCGTTCCCTGAAGGTATGTAAAATGGGTCAGGTACAGAAGACCAGGCATTCCAGCTTGGGGAAGTGTGACATGCGTGGCGAGTGACTTGGACAGAAGAGGAGTTGGGAGTCGAAACAGGAGCTGGATGATTGAGATTCATGAAAGTTTATTTTTTATGCACTCAGTGGAAGACTACACTCAGAAGAATATGGGATAAAAATCTACCAGCCCTCTGCAGGGTGGTGTGGGGGGAGGCCTTCCATAGTGCAGGAGTGGGTTGGCAAGTATCAGGACCAGGGCGGAGGCAGCACTCATAGAAAAAGTGCAATGGATTCAAGACACGTGAGGAAGGGAGAGCTGACTGACTTTGGCACAACCCATTTAGATGAAGACGAGCACAAACTGACCTCACGGTTTTCCTGTTACTGTCACTGGCATTGACAGAGGTTGGAAGATATCAGTGGCTTCTGGGTATCAAGGAAGGCTGAGGGCAGTAGAGCTGGGGGAAATGTCCATGTGGGCACAGTAGTCCCCTTGGGATCTGTGGGGGATTGGTTCCAGAACCACCGCCCCCCGCAACATATACCAAAATCCATGGAGGCACAAGTCCCTCACGTAAAATGGTGTAGTACAGTGGGTCTTGCCTGCCCCGGGCTCCACAGCACAGGTTGAGTCAACCTTGGGTTTTGATTGTACTGAAATTGCTTGTCCTGAAAGGCCCTTTAATAAGCAAGAAGATCGCCTGGTAGATATTTGTGATAGAATGTAAAGGTTTTCATAAAATTACTCCTGGAAATTATATACCTACATAATTTTTTAATTCTTATTTTTCAAATTTATGGAAATTTGAAAACGATTTATCTTCTTGCCAACTTTTCCTTCTATTAGCAATTTAGCTGCTTACTATTGGAAAAGAGTGAATTTAAGCAAGGTCACCGAATGTGTCACAGGGCCACCTGTGGGTATCTAGTAAAGCTGCCTTCTGGTTTCTTGTTACTTTAGTGACAAAACTTGCCGGTACTTACTTGAACTAGATTATTAGGAGACAAAATTGACGCTTAAATTTGAGATTAAGAGGAAGTATATAGCATATGTATGTTTATTTGATATTCGTCCGGTTTTATCCACGTTGATTTTCCTCAAACTTTAATTTCTACATTAGAAAACTCATTACTTAATCACTTTAGAAACCTGGACTCTCTGATTTGTGATTTCAGAACAACTTAACACTGCATTTTAAGAATCAAGCATTTTGAATACCATTAAGGCCAAAATGTACCCATTGAGAAAGTGTTTCTTAAATTCCAGTCACTGTTAAATGTCCACATGACATTCCAGTGTGTCACTAACTCCTTTAGCTCTTTAGTGAGAAGTTACTGCAAAATAAAAGGTAAAAATCGTAAAATAGTATCTGATCGCCAACTCTCCAATCAGCACGTCACACCACTTCTTAAAACGCCAGTGGACCACGTTCTAAGCATTCCAATTAGGTTTTCCGGGAAACACCATTTGTTTTACAATGTCATTTTAAATTCTAAGTCACAACCCACACTTTCCCATTTTTCACCTCTTTCGTAACTCACTTCAATTTGTTTTGGAGAACAAATTTCCCTCTTCTGTTAGCAGGTATGATAATCTAATGACCTCAATTAGAGAAGGGAATAAAAAGGCTCACAAATCTAAAAATAACTCCATTATCCACGTTGAGGAGGTCGGTTTTTCCTTCCACTGTACCAGCTGATACTTAAGTAAGTGGCAATCGATCAGTCGCATGCCTGGCTCTCGTTTTTCATAAATGAAGGGCTGTGGCTTTAAGTAATCGCAGGCCGCCGGTGCCAGAGGCAGAAGCTGCAGCATCAGCTCCTGTGCGGAGGGACGTCGGAGGCAAACGGTAACCTGCAGGACGGAGGAGGGCGAGCCCGGGGCCAATGGCGCGCCTCCTGGCCGCGCTGCGAATGTAGCCGGACCGGACTGGTGGGTGGCGCGGCCACCTGTGCACTTCTCGGCCGGTGCGGGGGGCGGGGGGAGTCGGAGACAGAAGCTGGAAAATGGGCTGCTCCGGCAGCAAAATGTGCCTCTATTCTCCGTGTGCGGCAACCAGGGTAATTCGTATTTGCTTATAGTCCTTTTCTGGAAGAATGTCAGGGACTAAGGCAGAGGATGTCTGGCGTTAGGGGGAAGTGCTCTGAATGACAAGCAACTCTTGCCTGCAAAGGCCGGCCTCAGGATCTCTGCAACGCTGGATCAGGATGCGGCGGGAGCTCCGTCTTGGGTGACCCCAGGGAGGGCATTTCCAGAGAGCTTTGAATTCTGCCCTTTTCCTTCCTTACAACCCGGTGGTAGGGAATCCGCATTTAAAAAATTGTATCTAATCGCTGTCTTTGTCTTCGTGTGTGTATGTGTGCTTGCTGTGAGTTGCTGGTAACTTGGAAATTGTTCTCTTTTGCTAATTGCTTTTTTGATTCTGAAACAGCTGCCTGGTTTTCTTTGATCCGTTTCTCTAACATCTCCTTAGAATTACAGCTGATCCAACATATTTTCATCCTTAGAGGATAATGTGGAGCTGAGGAAAATTAATTTCATTTTGTCTTTAAAGGATTATTTTTTTTTCCACCGTGGCTTTGTGACAGACTTTGCATCTTTCTTTCAGAAGTAAAGGCTTGGCCTCGTAAGGAAACTTTTTTATTTGCAGATATAGGACAAAGTGCATATAAGTGCATATGTGTAGAACATTAAATATTTATCTTAAACTGATAGGCCTTTATTGCCCTTGGAGGGGGAGAATGCATTACGTCTTAAATGCAGTATGCAGTAGCTGGAAGGTTCTGGGATCGGCAGTGAAGCCTGGCTCAAAGTAAATATTTTTAAATGGGCTGTTCAGTGCCTCCAGAGAAAGTTTCACAAGGATCTGAGAAAAGACAGATTTTTGAAACGTGAATTTCCTTAACAACTAGGGGACATCTGTGTTTTTTTAACAACACAGACTGTTAGCCTAAATGATTCATATCTTGGCTTTTAGATTCTGAGTCTCATTTTCCTGGTGATAATGAATGTGTGTTTTACTGAAAGGGACCCTCTTGAAAACATGAGTAACTTGATGTGTGTTTTCCGCAGCAGGAGGAAGCACTGAGACAACACAAAACCCTATCTCAAGAACTTGTTAACCTCCGGGGAGAGCTAGGTAAGAGTCTTTTTTGTTTGTTTTGTTAAGTTTTATGGGATGAGGGGAAAATTGGACAGTTTGGTTTTCCTCTCTGCATGGTGGCTGGAGTTGCACGCTGTCTCACTCCAGTATCTGTGCAAACACTTACTGTGGACATGGCTTTTGAACCCTGACAGCTTGCCCTCAAGTTCACAGAATTCCAGGCACTGATCTGAGTAAGCCCAGCAGAGCTTCTGATGACCAAAACGTTTCTCTTCCTAAAGAGGGGGGCAGAATGGTTTTTGTAATTGTGTGGATTCCCGTTAATTTTTTTTTTCCTGAACCATTTTTCATATCGATGAGTGGTGGGAAGATGCCCTGTGTGACAGCAGTAATTATCTGATGCTTCCTTGGGGTGGTTTGTGAGTAGTGAGTACAAAACTGGAAGGGGTAACTGCCTGAAGAAGGCACGTCCTGTGCTCATCTTAGAACTGGGCCTGATGGGGAGTGAGGACCCAGTTCCACAGAGAGCCACGTGCTTCTGATGTCTGTGGCACTCGCCACCCAGTGCCAAACTCTGTTCTGGTTCTTGTCTCTCCTTGAAGGAGTCCTAGGTTCATGCAACAGGAAGGTACTGCTTTTCCCACGTCAGCCACCGTGCTGGAGGGAGTGCTGCCTGGGAGCCCGCCCGCAGCCGGGTGGTGGGCAGTTCACTGGAAGGCTGAGTTCCTTGCTCTCTGTGGCTTTCTGTCTGTGCTGAAAGTGAGTGTAGGCATGTGTGTAAACAACGCAAAGGCAACAGCCAGAGATGAGATCTGTGTTCCTCTAGTTCTAGGAGAAACTGCTCATTTTACTTTGGACAACACCAGAGTTTAAACACTGTCAGTATAATTTGCTGAACTTGAGCTCTTTTAAGTTGTTTCCCCTCAGGGCAAAGTCAAATAGCAGTGAATGTGGAGTCAGGACTTGTCTCTTGATCCGTCTTCTCTTTTCACCTCCTGATGGAGGCAATGCCAAACTCCCAGCTCCCCCTCCAGATTCGTGATACCCAGCCTGGGGCACCACAGTCTGCTGACCTGATGAAGGACTCTATGGAAAAGTAATTTTAAGACAGATGGAACCTCAGGACCCCAAAGACTTGAGAGTTCCAGGAAAACAGTTTAGGGAAACCACAGATAAGAAACAGCCCGGCTCTCAGAGTCTGCAAGGCTCCCTGCCAGGTTACTTCACTTGACTGCCACCCTTTTGATTACCCAAGTGGCCAACTTCCTTTGCTTTTGTCTGTACCTTAAATAATGTAACGGATATAGGGTTAGCAGATCAGGAAAGAGGCCTTTTTTGTGTGTTTCTCGGTTCACTGTAACCTGGTAGAGGTGGAGCTGAGTCCACCTGGAGGTTCACATTTCAGCCTCTCCCCGAGAGAAGGCAGAAGCACACAGAGGGAACACACTTCTCATTCAGTCTGTCTGAATGGGGGATGCTCTCATAGTGGAGAGCGTGGTCCAGTTATTTCAACTGGACCCAGGTACTCAGCACCTCCTCTTGGTCGCTTTTAAGCCCAACAGGAAATCGCTGTAGCAGTTTGTGCCCAGTCTCACCTTCCCGTCTGTGATAAGGAGAGGGTGCCCGGTGTGGCTTCACTGCTGTGCAGTCAGTGCCAGGATGCAGTGGTTGGCCCGTCCAAACCCTTCAGTCACCCACGGCTAGACTCTCAGGAGGGGTGTCCTTACTGCCGTGCAATCAGATTGACTGGCTCAAGTAATAGTGCACAGTGTCTTGGGAAGGGTTTTGGTTCCATGAGGGAAGTGGAGAGAAGCCCTTTGAATTGTTCTTCTGATGAAACAGTCCAGGAAGAATGCTCTCAAAGCTGCCAGCTTGATTGACTGTCGTATGGGCAGAAATGGAGATAAACAGGTTTAGGTAGCAACATTTACAGCTCAGTTTTAAAATCTGAGGCAGTGGTACCAAGTGGTTTGACTGTGTGATCACACTGTCCAGGGTCACATCTTCGGTAGCCGGGTGACCTAGGTAGGGCAAGTCGTACTGCACGTCTTCTGTCCCAGTTCCATTCGCTGTAAAATGGCAGTAGTCACTGTCTGCCTCGAGGGTGGCCACGAGGATGACATGAGGTAACGCATTGCAAAGCGTCTGCCACCAAATATTAACTGCTACCAAATGGTAGGTGTTAGGACGTGTGCAGTTTACAGCTGTGTAGTAACCACACTTGCTGTTTTGTGAAGGCAGAGACTATACTGCAGAAAGGAATAGGAATTAGACTATTAATATTAGACTATTAATAAATATTATTAGAAGTCCCCCGGGACAGGCTGTTTTTTCTCTTCCCACTTGAATGGAAAAGTGAGCCGTGAGGGGCCCCTTCCTGAAACATGAGAAGTGCTTGGGCTGCACTGTCCATCCGCTCCTGGTTAGAAGTTACCTAATTTCTCTGAGTATAGTTTCCTCACTGATGATACAAAGTTAGTATGTGTCTTTTCAGATTGTTATGAAGCTTGAGTAAGACAGTGATGCATACAGAGCAGCAGTATAGCCCTGTCCAGCCCAGGCAACTCAAGAGAAGAGAGCTGCCCCTGTCAGCGCCATCCAGGATTCCCCCCTTTCCCCCACGACGTGATGGGGAATCGCTGGTGTCACTTTCCCACTAATTTTTCTTTACCTTCTCTATGAAAATTGAGACAAGGTTCCCCAAAGAGTAAAGGACAAATCATCATCTCAGGGGCACTGAAACCCAAGTAAAGTCTGCAGTTTTTAAAAATTTTTTCTTTAATTCTTTTTTTCCGGGGAGTGGGTAGGTAATTAGATTGATTTATTTATTTACTTTTTTTAATGGAGGTGCTCGGGATTGAACCCAGGACCTCGTGCTTGCTAATAAGCACATGCTCTGCCACTGAGCTATATCCTCCTTCCAAGTCTGCACTTTTGATCTTCACGTCTAACTGCCTCCAATTGTCCCCTCCACTGACTTTCCCACTGTCTTCTCTCTTGTTACCCTCACAAGCCGAGTGACTCACCATTTGTTTCTGCAAAAACTCTTTAAAGCCCCCTCTTGGTCTCCTCAGAACAAAACCACAAGGCTCCAGTGAGCACTTGTTACTTTTTCCTGCATTTATTTTATCTTGTGTTTTCCCTTCGTCTTTAGATAGTAAACTCTTTAATTGCACAGATTCTTCCCTGCCTCCTGTGGGGGGAAAAAAAGTATAATATGATTTCCATTTTCATGGGTAATTGATAAATACTTACGACATTTTATTCTACTTCTTTAAATTATTTTATTTGGAGGGAGAGGGAAGATAATTAGATTTATTTATTTGTTTATTTTTAGAGGAGGTACTGGAAATTGAACCCAGGACCTCGTGCATACTAAGCATGTGCTCTACCTCTGAGCTACACCCTCCCCTTTATGGGCATTTTAGGTTTTAAAGTAACTTTTATGTAAGAACAATGTGTGAAGATTAACTAAAATTGTGGAGTGAGAGGGAAATAGCCCATAGCTCCATTACACTGACATAACTTTCATTTTTGCACATTCCTTTGTTTATATGACTATATACCATCCATTTTGACAAACACACACACTCATATAACCTGCACCTTTAGGTTAGGTTTCCAGTAGACCCTCTCCCTGTAGAAGCAAACACTGATCTGATTTTTATCCCTGGAGGTTAGTTTTGCCTGTTCTGGAATGTGACATGAATGGAAACATACAATAAATTCTTTCTGTGTCTGGCTTCTTTCACACGTCATGTTTTGGCGATCCTTCCATGTTATCGTGTGTACTCTGGCTTTTAAACTACGTCAAGCACTTTTCCATCTTGCCTCATAGTCTTCCTATGGGCAAGTTGAATAACTTGGGAAAGTCTCCCGAGTAGATGTAGCATAATTTCTCTTGCCCTGAAATAATGTTTCAGTAAGGGTTTCACTGTCAGCTGTTTTCCCATCTGTCCCCATGGTTTCAACCACAGCCTCTGGGGTGAGGACTCACAGACTTGCTTTGCTAGACCGCTCCCTCCCAAGATGCAGGTAAGTTCTTCCCAGTGAAGAGTGGCGTCCAGACCCGCCAGTCCAGTGTCGTCAGGCCTTCCTGACTCGGTGGTGGTGTTACTCACTTACCGCCCAGGCTACCCACTGAGATCACATCCCCTTCCTCCATCCTCCACAGGACACCAGTCTGTGTTCTGAATGTTGCTCAGATCCCTCCCTCCTCAGCATTCTGGAGGCTACTGTTCTGAGTCCTGTGGTTTCTCACCGGGAATGCCTCCCAGGGGTCCCCTCGCCTCCAGACCTGCTTCTCTCCGATCCACACGCTACCAGGGCTGTCCCTGTAATAAGCCCCACGTGTGTCCTCTACTGGATGTTTTTGACAAACATGGGTGGCTTTGGGAAGAAGTCCAGACATACTAAAGCCACCATGTATGATATGGTGCGTTTTTCTCCTTCTAATTTAATAATTTTATATTTATTATAATAAAGTCAGAGGATATGAAACCATATCCATCTCTTATCTAGTGGGGTCAATAAATGTGCACTGTGCAGAGTTTAGGGAAGAGGTAGATAACGGAGAGCTTCCAAGAACACTAGGAACAGAAGCAGCGCACCAGTGTCCTAGGACAGACCGTTGGGAGGCAGCAACTCTGATAACCAGCCTCGTCACCCTCACGGTTCTACCCGAGGAGGGGCTCAGAAGTGAAGAAGCTATTTCTTTATGCCTGTCCGTTTGCTTCTTTTCTTGTGTCTCTTATATTGTACTCATCTGATTGCATCTCAGTTGCCTGTTTGTCTGTCCCTCCTTTGGATTGTTAACTCCAGAAGGCCCTGACGTCATAGTGTGGCTTCATGATGTCTGAGCCTCGTTCCTTTCCCCTCCCCGCATCCCAGCCGTGGGCTCATCTGTGCTCTGTGACACGCGTGGTCCTCTCTGTCTGAAAGGCTCCCTCCTCTTCCCACTTCCTTTCTGATTTTTGCCTCTCAGGCTCTTCATTACTCATTTTTAAAGCCCTAGATAAAACACCTTGTTCCGCTGA